TTAAGTTCAAATGGTATCGTGTGCCATAGCTTTCGACATGGAGAAGCTATTTCAATTAGTTTACACCATTTCAAAGTTTAAGGAAGTTCAAGATGAGTTCACAATGAAGGTTTATTACGACATCAAATCTACTTTGGAGGGATGTTTTGGGACGACGCATCGGAAGGATATTGTATATCATGATTACAAAGAAGAAAACTATATTTTCCATCTCATTTCAAATGGAGACATGTGACATTACTTGCAGTTCCACTTGTTCGAGTATTGAATAATTATTTGCAAGCATGTGATCTCATTCTTCATTTGTAAAGACATCACGTTAATATCTAATAGGTATATACTACGGAGATGGAAGAGAGATATCAATAGAGCACATGCGAGGGTCAATGTGAAATATGGCGGGCTAGTTAGTACTTCTAGATAATTGAGATACGACGATATATGTCAGATTTTTTTAGAGGTGGCAAATCTCATTGCAGATGATGAAGGTTGGACCCGTGAAATTTCACATTCAATGGTCAACGTGAAGTCATGCCGGCACACAACATATCCTACATACTACTTAAAAAGCAGATGCCTTATTACTACCAACATTTATAGGATGAACCAGCACTCCCTTATCATTGTTGACTGGTGATTATGTCCGTTTCGACCATTTTACTTCATTGTTCATCTGTTAGAAGCTTTTTTTCCTAAACACTTAAATGGATGCAGTTAGTATAGGCTGAAATGGATATACGTTGTATAATCTTTGTACTTAATTTTTTTGGAATATGCTAATGTCGTTAGCTGTGAATTAAAATATGAATTGGGATATATTTTTGTACTTAGTGTACTTTGGGAGCATGGTTTTTATTCTTGCACTGTAGAGTAAAAGGGGTTGACAATGTCTTCTAGGAGTGTGGTTCTTATTCTTACACCACAATTAGTTGCATTTGTAGTTTAGAGACCTGTTTTTGCAAGTAATGTATGGTACTAATGCAACAATAAACTGGATCCCGTACACATCTAAGACTTGATTTGTTAGCTAAACAATTAATGTAGTAAATATAACACCAAACAAAATGAAATACTCAGTGCACATCTCCATAGCTAGACATGGCTACCAAAATACATTTCATAATATCCAAATTACATAGAGTTAAACGATGCAATAGGAATCCAACGTTAAATTACGAGTAGTGATCCTAATTTATTTTATAACTTCATTCTTACCTACAACTACAAATTGGTCCTTCCCATTTCCTTTTGTAACTTCATTCCAAACTCGCTTTTCCGTTCCGTGTTGTGATAGTAATCTCCACATCTTTTCCATAAATTAGCCGATACATAGTTTCGAACATTTCGGATGGCTCTTGAACTAATTCGTTCGTCGCATTATTAGTGGAAGTAATTTTTGCAATGGAATTTGATTCAGTGCTTGTTTTACCCTCTCTGACCCACTTCCAATATCCACCATTCGTGTTGCAAAAATTTAATATTTTTCCCTTGTTGGGAGTCTCCTTTTGTGACCACAAAATACTTGATAAATGCACGTTTACACCATGGGCATGGGTACTTGTTTGGACAATCCTTAAACAAGTGATTGTTATATCTACAACCATGGCACATACATGATTATCTCCTACCATTGTCAGCTGCATATCAAGTGCATACAAATAATGTCAGCACAACGCAATTACTAATTCAAATAACTGCTTAACAAATTTGATAATCAAATGTTCGAGCAAGTTGAACAGGAACAATTATCTAATTCACTTTCAATTTCAGTACACACAATATGGCAAATCAGACATCTACAACTTTTTTCGTTCTTCACCTCATTCAGTAAATTTGTCATATTCTAGATAATATCAAACATGTATACGCAATTCACAGTACACCAAATCTTGAAACATGATCAAATGGTTTGGTCGAATCTATAGGAAAATATACCAATGCCCAACAACATGTATATACCCATACAAACCAAATATGGTGCTTACCAAATCTTGCTGCAAAAGGGGAAAAGACAGGAGAGCATTGGATTCATTTTTCCGTCAATTGCTTAGTTTTTTTTTTTTTTTATTTAACAGTCACTTCAACATTTTTTTCTCTCAATTGTGATTTTTTTAATTTTAATTTTTATTTTTTTGAGTTACCGTCAACATTTTTGAAATCCCGTACCTATTCAGGTAAGGCTTCACTGTACCTATTGCGGGACCGATTTCATAATTTTTGTTGATCTGAAAAGCCACATAAGAATTGAGATTAATGACATTGTATGAAATATGTAACAAGATGAAAAAGATGAAACAAGATTTAAAGTAAAGAAATCAAAAAGCGTTAAGCAAAGGAAACGATAGTTTATTATGACGACGATATGGAAAAAAATTACTACATAGCAATTTTGGCTTAAATTAAACTAAAAAAAGATATCAATATTTATAAGTACATACCATACCATAAAAATGGAAATAATGTGAAAGAATGAAATAATATATTTCCAATGAAATCACGTGAAAATAAGGAAATAATTTTTTTCACGTGAAAATAAGGAAATAAATTTTTTCCTAATTTGGGTCATAAACCCAATAATCTCTACCTTAACCCAAATTTCAGTGCAATGAATTAAACTCCAAAATTTCTCCACCTAAAAAGTATGTCCAACTGCATTGAAATAATTGAACTCTTCAAAACAGTAAACAAAACTCCCCATCACAAAAAAATCTTCCTCTATCTGGCGTTCACAAGCGATACCGAACCTAACTCTCGAGTTCCAAAAATTTAACCAAGAAATTACTGTTAACCAAACAAGGTTGAAACACACCTTGTAACAGAAAACCACACCAAATGCCTGATCAGAAGGCCCAGTGCTAAAACTGTCACCTTCAACGATCCCAAAAACATTACAGACATCACTGACACCACTGTATCTACGCTTCATGAGTCTAACTCTAGCAACTGAATAACATGTATCCGCTGAAATTGGTGGCAAAGTAAAATCACCAATACTCCCCTGAGCAATATTTTGAACTGACCCAGAGCTCGTCATAAGAGGTACTGTATTAAACTAAATATCCAGCATGGTATTGAACTTGTCTAGATGTCTCTAACTGGTTCCGCGCTTCCCTGTAAGATGTACAACTGAAACTTCTTTCATCCCTCCAATACAACCCCGACACCCCTTCGGACCTTCAAGATTCCACCTCCACCAGAGAAATTATACAATTTTGCATCCGACGGTACGCAGCGAGATGAGATTCCTTTTCAGGTTTGGAACATGTCAAACCTGATCAATTGTTCTGACCGTCCCATCCTGCAACTTTAATCTATCTCAACCGATTTTAGCATCACGACAAGACTGGTTATTTCCTATCACAACTCCACCTTGCTTGACAGCTTCATATGTCTGAAAGAAATTTCGATTGAAACACATGATGCGAAGATGCCGAATCGAGAATCCACTCTTCGTCAGGTTTAGCTCCACATCAAATACTACGGTCAACATCACGTCATTGCCATTTGAAATAACCTCGATAACATTAGTCTCATCCGAATTGCATGATTGCCCCCTATGATTTGCAGTTAAACTACTTTTAATTTGCAACTTATCGCAATCTTTCTTAATGTGTCATTTCCTCCTGCAGTAGATGTAGTACAAATTGCTGAAGTTCGTCCTCGATCTATCCCTCCGTCGATCATCATGAGATACCAGAACTTTCTCATCCCTCGATATAGCTCCAACCAAATGCTTCATCTTCTCCTTTGAAAATAGAGTATCATAGACATCCTCAATAGTCAAAGTATCACGACTATACAGAATGGTGTCTCGAAACGACGAATAAGAGGTAGGCAGCGAACACAACAAAATCAAGGCCAGATCTTCCTTATCGTACTTAACCTCCAATGTCTCTAAATTTGCAACTATTTCCTTAAACACTACAATGTGGTCTTCTAGTAACCCTCCTTCCGCCATGTGATGGGAATGCAACTTTTGTTTTAGAGTCAATTTCCTAGTGAGACTTTTAGTCATGCATAATCGCTCCAGTTTCAACCACAAAGCAGCCGTTGTTTTCTACTTCAAGACGTCCTGCAGAATATTATAGGATAAATGAAGATGAATCTGCGATAAAACCTTTCGATCCCTTCGTTGTTGTCCAATTAGTTGGCATTTTTTCAAAAATGCAGCAACACATAGTCCAAATCCAACTGTGCCAGAATAGCCCTCATCTGTACTTGCCACAAAGAAAATCTTGTATTGCGATTCAAGAGCGGAATATCATATTTCAATGTAGTCATCTCTAAAAAATTTCGATCAAATCATGAAGAACCTACAACCTAACTATGATACTACTTGTTGATCCCAAATGCGACGCAAGGATTGAGATTAATGACATTGTATGAAATTTGTAACAAGATCGTAAAGATGAAACAAGATTTAAAGTGAAGAAATCAAAGAAAATTAAGCAGAGGAAACGATATTGTATTATAACGACGATATGGAGAGAAAATTACAATAAAGTAATTTTGGCTCGAACTAAATTGAAAGAAAATGACATTATTTATAGGTACATATCATACCATAAAGATAAAAATAATGTAAAATAAAGAGATAATATATTTCAAATAAAATCACGTGAAAATAAGGAAATAATTTTGTTCACATGAAAATAAGAAAACAAATTTTTTCTAATTTGGGGTCATAAACCCAACAATTTTTACCGCCAAATTGATTAATTCAGTCAGATTTTGAGAACCCATATGGTCCACATGTCCTCATTATCTCAATTTTTCGTGGCTGTATTTCCCAGTGTAAAATAAGCCTCAGAATCAATTCAAAAGATTTGGATGGACGGTCCACCAATTCCGAATTTTCCAAACAAAGACTAATTCTTCAATATATAGTTGGATGTTCGGCAGAAACAGAAAATGATACGTTTGTCTTAATGTAGCTATACAATTTAATGACATCATTAATTATATTTATAATATCCCATAAATTAAGGATATTTTTCCATTGTAGGTTGAATAATTTATCTGAAAGCGAAATTATTGCGTGAAGATGATGCATAGTACGCATTGGACAATGAAACATGGCAAAATTGCTTCCAACCTGCTTTACCATTTGTCCACTTTACAACACACCCAAAAGGCGTTGCAATACATTACATAAATCTCCGATCAAAAAAATTACGAAAAATATCTATTTTTTTAAATCATAGGAATTATGGTTTAAAGTGGGATTACAACAGTTGAAGCCTTCGCTGGACAAAGAGCAGTGCCTCCATGGGAGTACTCAACTCAAGGTGCCAAGGATTTATTTTATTTTATTTATTATTATTTTTTTTCAGGAATATGATGAATCTTAATATCCCAGATGAAAAAAATAAAATAAAATAAAATAATTGATTCTTGATGATATTTTTGCTCTCACTGGTTAAATACGTTCTTTGAAAATTTTTAACCCTCAGTATTTAATTGACAGGAGATTTGTCATGGCCTTTTTTTCATCATTTTACATGTGCACGTTAATATTTGGGCTTTTAATATGCCATATACTGTAGGAGTTTTAAGGTGACAAGAAAATTTGAGTTTCGTATTTATGGGTTTTGTCGGTTGATGGAGGTGGTTGATTATAGATGAATATATTATTAAGAAAATACGACCTTGAAAGTATCTAAAAACCCTCACAGTTGATGAAGGCAGATTATGGGTTTCCACCTATAATCTATAAAGATTTTTTCCCCTTTTCAAGATTGCTGAAATATATAACTGTTATTAATTTTCAGAAGTTGAAACACTGTTAAACGAAGCATTGCACTAAAGAACTGGGATTGGCATGTGATCCAGGTCCTCGCATTTTAGTAGGAAAGATTGATTGTTTTCGCTGGAAGAGTAATATAGAGATTCTGATAAGGCGCAGTGAGTTTTGAGATGTCTTCCATTTCGGAAAAGAGTAAGCTACCCTCGAAGTTTCTTTCTTGGCTTATAGTGGTTTCAATGATTCTTTTGATCCTCTCGTCGCTGTCCCTTCATCAGTTCAGTAACAATTGTGATAATTCTTTCATAGCCAGATCAGTTTTTAATTTTATTTTGGTTAATAATTCATCAATTTACTTGAAATCGAATGGCAAAGGTGATCAAATAAAAAATCATCTGATCCTTAGTGAAATGCCAAAGAAGGAAGATACTTGCATTCACAAGGTTGGTTTTCAATTTTCTGGTCACATGGAGAATATGGATGAGATGGGGCAACACCATGGGGCAGCGTGTGACCAAAGTCGAGCACTTCTTAGGGTCTATATGTATGACTTGCCCTCTGAATTTCACTTCGGGTTGTTAGGTTGGGAAGGCAGTGCAAATCAGATGTGGCCTAGTGTAAGTATTTCTAACAGATTTCCACCATATCCCGGTGGTTTAAATTTACAGCACAGCACAGAGTATTGGCTTACTCTGGATCTTCTTGCATCAAATACTGCAAATGTAGTTCGACCATGCTCTGCAATCAGAGTGCAGAATTCTAGTGAAGCAGATGTAATATTTGTACCCTTTTTCTCGTCTCTCAGTTACAACCGACACTCAAAGCTCCAAGGACATGAAAAGGTTAGTGCCAATAGAATGCTGCAGGATAAATTGGTGCAGTTTTTAGAAGGTCAGGATGAGTGGAAGCAACTGGGTGGTCGGGATCATTTGATTGTAGCCCACCACCCAAATAGCATGTTATTTGCAAGAAATAAGTTGGGTTCCGCCATGTTCGTGCTTTCAGATTTTGGGAGATACTCCAGAAAAATAGCAAACCTTGAAAAGGATGTAATTGCACCTTACAAGCATATGGTGAGAACGATTCCGATTGCTAACTCGCCGTCATTCAGTGAACGGCCTATGTTGATGTATTTCCGAGGAGCAATTTACAGGAAAGACGTAAGTTGTATATATATCCACCTTTGCAACTTAATTTGAACTATTTGTTTTTTTGTTCTTTTGGTGATGTGACGTGCTTTTTACTTGGTAACCACATGCAAAGTTGTATTTGAAAGTTAACTTTTGAGGGTTTTATATCTATGCATTTGATTCACTCCTAGAAGTATACTCTGAAATGCAATTGTATACATCGTTTAATTATCATCTCCTCCTCATCTGTAGTCCAAACTGAATTTTATATTGTGACAGATTCCCAAAACAAATAGCCATGGTCAAAAAGTCAGCACTAGGCGTGAAATGCTTTTTGTTCAACTGCTTTGTTTATTTTCAGGGTTTATTAATTATGACGGAATTGTCACATGGAATAGATTCTTAAATCTCTAGTAGGCCTTTGATCCTCTGTTTTAATTGCTACAACTGCAAACGAGATAAATTTTTAATATTAAAGGTCTCAGCATTTTGTCTAAAAAAATATCAAAGTGTTGCATATATATAACATGGGGACTTGTCAAAATCAGAAATGGAGCACTAAATCTGAATTAGATCTGTGCTTGAAATGTATGAAACTGCACATCATAGTGACATCTATGTCATGAAGCACTTTCGTGTTGCTTTAATAGGCCAATATTAGCACAGTTGGGAAGAGAGGATTTCATTTTAAAGAAATTAAAAATTTAAGAAGATAAAAATGAGAGAGAAGTAGGAAAGCTAGCTTGGGAGGAAGAAGGAAAATCCGATGAAATATGTGATTTGAATCTTGAGAAAGAAAATCAGTGTAGAATTGCCAGAATATATAACTCAATATGAATATGGGTTTGTATTCAGGGTGGAGCCATCCGTCAAGTACTATACTACCTACTCAAAGATGAGAAAGACGTTCACTTTGCCTTTGGAAGTGTTCAGGCTAATGGGATAAAACAGGCAGGGAAAGGGATGGCCTCTTCCAAATTCTGCCTGAATATTGCTGGAGACACCCCTTCTTCAAATCGTCTCTTTGATGCCATCGCTAGTCACTGTGTTCCTGTAATAATCAGTGATGAAATTGAGCTACCCTTTGAAGATGTTCTCGACTACTCAGAATTCTGTGTATTTGTCCACTCATCTGACGCTGTGAAAAAGGGTTATCTTCTTAATCTCCTGAGAGGTATCGAGCAAGAGAACTGGACGAAAATGTGGGAAAGACTAAAGAAGATCAGTCGACACTTTGAGTATCAGTATCCATCTCAGCCCGGTGATGCTGTGGATATGATTTGGCAGACTGTTTCACGCAAGAAATCAGCCACACAGTTAAGTGTTCACCGAAAGAACAGATACCGCAGATCACAGTCTTCCTAAATCCCCATCTAAGTTGTTAGTACTTAAGAACATACTAGCAGTATATTTTTTAAGATTTATACCACTTTCTTTATCAAGTTCTCAAACATTTTGTAAATCCTATTACTTTCAAGAATCGTTCCATGTTGGGTTCTTTGTACGTTCCTAGTTGAAATCTTGCTGAACAAAAGGAAAAGAATAGAATGAATTTCAAATGCAGAAGAGGAGATTATTAATTTCGAATAAAATTCTAATTCACAGAATGCCTTAGAGATGAGGAACAAAATAGATCAATGAAAACGTCATATTGGATAAACTAGATGCATTGTATCGTAACAGATGCAGGTATGTGTGCATATCCATGTGCTTTTGATGTGTGCATACATGGTTAAACGTAAAAAGAATTTAGCCAAAACGAAGATTGAAGCTAAAAGAAGAAACAAAATCTGTGGCACTATGAATCTCTACACATTCGAGCTATGGTTGGAATCTATATATATGATGACGGTATGGCTTGCAATTCTCAGCTGTATCTACCAGCTTCTCTATGAACAGAAAGCTTTAACTTAAACAAATGAAACAACAAAATCAAACCAAACCTATACTGGAAAGTTTCTTAATATATTATATCCTTTGCCTCGAAATTTTAGCATCTGTTGTGAATAGGGTCTGATCCTCGGTCGACCCTTCTTTTTTCTGATTGATTTGGATCGTAAGTCATTCCAGGTGAAGGCGCAATATTCAGAGCGGCGCCCAAGTCCTGCAATGCAACAGCCTTCAGAGCCCGGGAACTTCTGAGAACTGACATTTCTCCTCGTTCCCATCGCCGAGCAAGATCTATGCTTCTCCGGCCTGAAACCATCTCTGGTTGAATAGAGAAAACCCCAATACAGAAGATTACTAGGATAATCACCCTACTGGCATAGAAACTCATTTTGCACTACAAAAACAGAGAATTTTCTCCTGTTAAGAGAATAAATGGTGTCTGAAAATGAAACTCTCTATTCCTCTGTATATAAACCTGGAGATTGTCTTTTGTTGGATTTGTGGGGCCGATCGCATAAAGAACAAAGGGACCCAAATCATAGATTCAGCTTAATCATAAGCCTGCCATAGAAGAAATGTTAAGGCTGTTTTAGAAGTTTTGACAGGTTTGAATAAAAGTTGAGATTGGAACAGCATTACTGAGAAGCCAAGAATCTTTATATTGGTTCCCCCACACACCCTATTATTTGCCTTGCTCTTTTAGACCAAAATTTCAAAAATCCCAAAACTCTTCAATCCAACATCAATTCTTCACGTCATCTCATTATGCTCCTGTGTACTTTGCGTAGAAGTTGTCTTTATTGTATTGGGTGATTCACAATCATCGAACTATTTATTTTATTAACATGTTTAGCGGGTTTCAATTCATTATTATATCTACTGAAAATCAGAACAAGTAAATTAAGTTTGCATCAACATTCTATCCACAATCATTTTTATGTCCACATTTATCAAAATCCTTGCAGCAGTAGAAAGTAAGAGGGTTCTTTATGGAGTATTGGATGTTAAGGTAGATGTCCCGTGGAGACAAAATCATAGTATGTTCTGTTGTTCCTCCGGGGTCCTTGTTCGCATGTCATAAAGGGAGTTCCATAAAGAGAAGAACCGTTTTCGAAATATCCGACCTAAATATGTATAAGCTATGACTGCATCCTATTTATCTGAGAGGTAAACCAGAGAGAAAAGCCGTCCTGCAAAGCTCGAACACTCGAGCCATTAAAAAAAAAAAAAATTAACTATCTAAGAGATTGTTTGAGATAGCTTCTGTGGAAGTCACTAAAAACTGTTTAAATCAAATAATTTTCTTAATTTATCCCAATGACTTTTACCCATACTCATGGACGCATATTCTCTCAAGTGCCGTTGGCCAGCCAAAGTTATAGGCTTGCTACAGTTGCAAGAAAGCCAGATAAAGTTATAGATACTGGGACAAGATAGTCAGTGAAACAAGCCCCCAAAAACACCAAGAATTTGCTTTATGCAAACTCTTCACTTTAGAATTCCAAGCTCTGTTCTCCATGCGCCAAAAATGACAGTCTTGATTTCTTGTGCTAAACAACTTTCCTTTATGCTTTTCTTAAGATTGTGAAGCACTAAGACCTCCATTCAAACTTCTCATATTCACTTCTCTTCCCTTTATTTCCTCGCTTATCCACGAAGACCATCTTTTTCTTTTCTTTATTTCCTTTCCCTTATTATTATTTTTAATTCAAAATGTACAATTTAAGTATGTCCATATCATGCAAGCATCTTTGGCTAATCTTAAAAATGGTAAATCTGTTTTAAGTGACTTTTTTGTTTCCAATTATGCTCGACTTTACTTTTTTACCCCCTTATTTTCAAAGTAGTCATTAAAGTATATTTACCGTAGTGGTTTTTTAATGATTACATTAATAGTCACTCGGTTGAAAATGTCAACATAAAAACCTATGTAGCACCGTTAAATGTAAATGTATACACAAAGAGCATTAACTAGAACCCTACTCGAAATATTGTCACAAATTTTATAGAAATTAGTAGAAAATACACCTTTAAATTGAAAACAGCATTTTTATTATACATTTTCACATCTGAACATAATTATTTCTCATCCAAGTGTTAGTAAATTGCATGTGAACATTATTCCTAACTCTCCAATTATTAATCCCCGAGCTTCAATGTTGTTTGTATCTATGATGATGTGTAAAGCATCCATGACGATATTTAAAGGTGTAAACTTAATTTTTTTTTTATTTTTTAGAAAACTTAAATAAAAAATCTGCTTATTTTGAAAGTAACTCTTATCTTATTGTCAATAAATAAAATGTTATATTCTGCTTATAAATAAACTCCAAAAGTTCCACCCAACATGCTAGATTCTTGTGGGGGTGGTGACGACAATGATGGATTCACTGGGGCTGGGTGAATCCCATGTCCCATGTGAACAAAAATAATGAGCTCTAGCAATCAAATTTCGAATGGATGAAGATTGTCCAAATTGTTATCCTCAATTTGGCTTGGGATGAACGATTTTAAAGTGTCAATACATGGTATGGTTCAATCAAAACTCAAATAACAACAATCCATCTCTTTTTTATCCTAGATTTTTCTTGGGTCAGTTCGCTTGACCATGAAAAACCCTCAACGCCATCAATTCTACACAGAAAAAGGAGACAATCTAATCTCATCAACGAAATTTTGTTCACTGCAGAGGAACACACAGTATTTATCAATGGATGAGACTGTTGAGAATGAAATCACAGGATAAATTTACACGTCCAAAAGTTGCATGAGATGAACGAAAGCAGTGCTATATAGCTGGCTCAGGTCGAGGGGTCATTGCTGGTTCTGAAGTCGCTCCAGGCGTGGGTGTCATTGCTGGTATTGACGATATTGTAACTTGCAAAACTCTATGCTGCCCTGCCTTCAGCATTGAAAGCAACTTCACTTGCTGCTAGTGCGGCAACTTCCTAATATTTCACGCGCACAAATAATTACATAATGAGAAAAAAGGTTATACAGGAAGTGCATATTTTCTATGCAGTATTAGACCATATTAGACACTGCAACGGACAATAATTTAAATTTATGCGAGATAAATTATATGGTGGCAGCTTGGCTCCACCACCATACTAGACATACACAGTAGAATAATCTTGTTATTTTTATTGAATACAAGATATTTCCAACCAATAAAAAGAATACTCGGCATCAGTGGAATTACTATCAGCAACAAATTTCATGACCCGTCTAGTTTCCAAATGTTACAAAATCAACAAGATAATTGGCGAGATGAAATAAAACAAACCAACACAAGAACACCAAGATTTTACGTAGAAATCCAAGACGAAAAAAAAATCATAGGCAGAGGAGTATTTCACCATAATAATAATGAATGTTGTTTGCACAAGATCTCAATGCTCTCAATCAAGATCTAAAGCTGTCTCAAGGCCCTATGACTGTTATGTTTACAAGTCGTGATTGTCATACATAAAACGTCATTAATGTATTTCCAAATTATGCAAAGCATAAAATGTCATTAATGTATTTCCATATCCTTGAATGCTCCTAGGAGAAACTTGTATCCTAGTTCATTATTCAGTTACAACACAATATAATGGTTATGTGGGCCAAATTAACCCACCACCTCCATATGCCCAACAAGTAAAAGAAAGAAGTCTCCAAGTGGACAAAACAGGAAAATTACATTCTTTTACCCTCTTTAACTTATTGAAAACTGTGATAGACCTTTCCAAAATTTGGAAGGTAATCAGCATTTTTAACTTATCAAAGACCACCAACAGCATAAAATTTTCAGGCCAGCACTGGAACAAAATTACTTATGGTACATGCATTCCAGTTTCCAACGTATGTTTTTTCAGTCAACTACCATCATTTCATGGAGTTCACTAAGGGTATGTTTGATTACATTTATTTTCCATGGAAAATATCAGTTTTCTATCCAAATTTTCACTTGGAGTGTTTGATTGCTATTTTTTTCCATGGAAAACATTTTCCAACTTTTGAAAATATGCCTAATTTTCCTTGTTTTTAAGGAAAATATTTTCCTTGGGTAGAGGTGGTTTTTATTTTCCATAAAAGATGGAAAATATTTTCTTTTCTAGGTAATATTTTCCATGTCAATCAAACACACTCTAATAGCATAGGAGACAACAGAAAGCATATGGATTAGAAAATAATGACTAGTAAAAGCTTCTCACCTGTCTCTGTCTCCGACGCTGCAGTATACTGATAGCCCAAGCAGCAATGTAGCAGGGAAGAAGGAACCCCATAACCCGGAGCAAGATAATCTGTTTAAGCGTCAAGCACATAATTAAGCAAGCAATAACACCAATACAAGTCGGGTATATACATGCATGACAGGCAACTAAAACATCGAATCCCACTCACAGAGAAGGCGAAAATATCATCGTCGTCGTTATCACTATCACCATTTCCAATTGTTAGAGTGTGCCTCAAAAGTAGAAGAGCCATTAGCTGGCACAAAACACAGGTCAAAATTATCAACAAAATAAATGTATCAAACTAAGGAAAGAGGAGAGAAAATAAAGGGTACGAATTCAGTCTGATTTTCGATCGAAAGTACGAGAAAGCTATGGGTTTTTCCTTAATCCCACAGGTATAGTATTTAAATAAAAGATAACATTTTTCTCAAGTACGAATCTTATTTCATTCCAATTCCTTTCATATACCTCCCAAGGAAAATATTGAATTGGATCCCATATTGATGGGTTAGTTTAAGCTTATCCATGTAGTCATGCACTTTTCAAATAACATGAATTTTTTCTGGAATTGGAAGAAAAGATTGAAAGCGCTAATCAAAATTTCAATTTCACCTATTTAAACAGAAAATAAAATTTATCATTTCTCATGAAATTATTATACTAGAGTTGACAACTCTCCTCTTTAAAGCTTATGCTGTAAATGCTTGCACCAGGCTGTTGGGTTTCTATCCACTTCTTCCTTGATACAAACAAGATCAGGTAGTCCTGAACCCGACTGTTAGTTGGAGAAAGTACCTTTGAAAAAAATGGGTGATTTCTATTCAAGGGTCTAGTCAAATGAGCATTTGCAACATTTTGAGGTCTACAGCATGCGATGCTCTATTGGTTTAATTTTAGATAACCAAAAGGAGAATGCATAAAAAGTAAGAATTAACTGATGAAAAAATATCTAAGCAGTGTAATGCATTATTTTCATTTCATCTTGTTTCCTTTGTCTTCCAGAAAGAAGGGGAAGAGGGTTGAAAGAGAACATTGACTTTTCTTTTGAACGCTGGAAAAGATTAATGGAATAAATTACAATTTAAGAATTAATGTATTTAAAGATTGAATCCCAAAATATCCATGAAACAATAAATATCACAAATAAACAGCAAGGACAATTGATGAGGCAAAAATTAAACTAGTAGGGAAGGTGTATGTTACAATTAAAGTAGCAGAACGACAAAATGCAGCGCCACTAGCACTTGAATCAACATACTCATCATAATCAGCCTCTAAAACATGGTGTTCTGTGCCAGCCACAGCCAAAAGTCGAGGGTCATGCAAATCCAATGGATTACCAGCAATTGTCCAGCCCCCACTGTATAGATAGTGCATCAGAGCCGATTAATTGAAATGCATGCACCCATACAAGTTAGTACATTTAACTGCATAAAGATCATAGAACATAAGCGAGAAAGTCTTACAAGTAGCACAGAATTAGATCAGCCTCATCTAGCCTAGTTTACACTCAAGCGTGTATTTCAAATGTATTTTAATGAAACAATTGATTTTGGAAAGTGATGAATAAAACAGATATAAACATTAATCAACCAAACACATTCGGTAGACGTTTTAAATGCATTGCCATTTGGTTGTCGAAACAAATGCTTTTTCTATTAAAGTGAATTATTTATTATTAGTAAAATGCTATAGGTGCAATAAAAAAGCTGACACTAGTCTATAAATCGAACATTTCAAATTACATTTATCATCAAACATCACTGTTTCCTACAAAGATCAAAAAATGGTATGAGAAAGAGTTGGGAAAAGAATTCAAAATGCTTAACGAGATTTCTAAAATAAAAGTTTAGCTTGTGGTTAGTCATACCAGTTCACAAGTTGATGGATGTAGTAATTCCATCAATTACGTATAAACAATATTATTCAAGTGAATCTCTAAATTTAGGAACCCCAAAGTAAAGCAAACTAGCTTGAAGAAATTTAAATGATAAGTGCATACCAGTATAGAATGATTAAAAATATGATAATCACAAACTCCATTTTCATAGCTACTCCCCAAAAATGTGAAAATAGGAGGGCAACAATAAGTGTAGGAAATTTGCAATGCTCCTAATGAAAGTAGTAAGCAATCAAAGAATGCTTCAAAAGGTATTTGAACCAAAGACGTGACCAAGGCAGTTCTATCTTCATGGTTTTGTGTAACAATATCAAAACTATTGCTTAGATGTATTTCAGGGTCAAGTATAAAATGCCTACAATCTAATAGATGATAAGGAACTCAGAAAGCAATGCCGGAATAAAATTATGAGGAATTGAAAACTGAACATCCTTCATTACTCTCATTATATTGGGAGGGAGAGGATACTTATGCAAACTCAGAAATGGAAATAACCATGCCTAAGGTGTCAGTCATTTAACTTGGTTGTTTTCAGATAATATTAGATAGATAAACGTTAATAGCTCTACTAAAAACCAAGGAATATAGACCTACCTGCCTCCATGCCTCAATAAGTACAATAGAGTAATCTAAACAACCACATCATGATGCATAGACATATCTTTCACTCAAACAGTTATATGATAGTTTAATACTTTTATTGATAACGACGTTGTGAGGGAAAATATCATACTATTTAGAGGAGCTGGAGTTGGGTAAAACTCTACTTATTAGGGAATTGATTAACAATATTACCACAGACCACAGGAGCATATTCAAACGATAGTAAGTACAAGATTTCTCTAAGAAAGAGATAAAACAAACAACTGGAACTGGAAATAATAGAAAACTATTGCTTGTTAATAGAGTAAGGATGCCTATTAATATAGGCATGATTTTATTGAAAAAGATGGAAGGGGGACTTGGTGAATTTGAATTTTCTGTAAAAATGCAGAGTACCAATAGCTATACAGTAAGACCTCGTGCACCTTAACTATAGTTTCGCACTGACAACCTTGATCACACGTAGGATAGGTGAGAGGTGGTGCCAATCCTGAAAGACCACACTTCTAAGAATGCCTTCCCACTCATCCAACTGTTGGTGAGAATTTTTTTGTTATTAAATTAACCTCCATAAAAGAAAGTTTTACTGTAGCTGATTTTACCTCTTCTAGTCAATTTTGCCATGATACTTGCTGCCTAAACTGGTATAAGTATAAAACAACTGCTAACACCCAAATTATACTATATATCACAATATTTATTTCCCAATTTCCCCTGCATTAAATTTGTATCTCACATCAATCTTTCTCCATGCACAAGTTAGCTGGTGCATTCATTCGTCATGATATCCAAATCATTGATACTAGGAAGTACTTGGTGAAACTCAAATATATTACCCAAACTAAGCGCACGTTTGGAAAGTGTTTATAGATGATTTAAATTATAAAAAAGATAGAAATGAGTGGTGGATGAGTGGATAATACTTGTGGGTTTCTTGAAATGTGTGGATAAAAAGTTCATAAACATAAGCCAGGCATTGGCTAAGTTTTGAGGGAATATTTATTGAGAAAGGATAGATTGCTTGAGATGAAAAAAATCTTTTTCCTCTCAAATAATCATGAAATTACTCAAGAGATCATCAATTGGTTAACAGTATGCATATTTCCCATTTGACCTTTTTTATGAGATTGAATATTAAGAAATTCCTTCACTCAACTAGTCCAATGTAATGTCCAGGTCCTTTTGTATGATGCTAAAACTGGAATAATATACCATCCTAAGTAAATTCCTAATTGTATCCAAATTCATCAATGGATATTTTTTGACACTGCCATATTTTTGTTTCCAGATATGAATGCCCATTCCTGACAAAAACTCACCACCGATGAAATTTCTTCTAGTGACATCCGACCTGAAAGGAAGAAGGTCGAGGAGAGGAGGAATACTTTTAAGCTTTAAGCTCATTGAAAATGTATAATTTAGCCTCCATTTCACAAAATTTCTAAATTATAAATGGTCAAACTTCATTTTCAACCACACAATCCAATGAAACTACAGCTACTATTTATTTATCAATCACTAATTCTATAAATTCTTCCAAAATTAAGGCTTATTTATATTTTCATTACAAGTAAAAAGTATCGGATGATTAAAACAATTAGGAAGTCATAGGCCTTACGGTAAAAATTAAACCCCCTCGTACCATTGTATTCTACCTATCAATCGTGTCCAAGTCGGAAAAATAACTCATATGCCTAGAGTGACTGAACAATTCAGGCCAATATTAACTTTTAATACACAGATACATGCAACAAGCCTGATTCGCGATAAACATGGAGTCAAGATTACATAAAAGTAATGAAGAAAAGTTATCGTTTCAGAAAATTACATCTTAGTTCTACTACACAGACCACAGTACAGTTTCTATATACAACATATTTCCATCTGCCAAAATAATCATTTTGTCCAAGGAAATTAGAAAAATTGAAGTTACATCTAGAGGCTTTTTATCAAACAGTTAAAACCGATTGCCTCATTAAGATCAAGGAAAAAACATATATGACCAAGAATTGAAAACATGCCTGATTTCAACAGCAGTATCATCAGGATGAAGATGAGGCGAAGAAGTGTAGCCATGTTGGTAAGGCTGCAAAATCAGGAAATTCATTAGCAGAAATCAGCATATACTTATGATTCCAAAACTCATAAGAGTTAAAATATTCGGATTCTTTTGCATGACAAGGAATAAATTTGATAAAGAAAGCAGCGGTAGAATACCTGATGACATATCTCGCATATTATATCTCCTTTCTCATTGCACCAGTGTTGCACACATTTCCTATGAGCGTACTGGATTTTTAAATGCAACAAAGAGAAAAATAGAAAATAATTTTTTTTTTTTTTTTTTTGATAGAAACCTAAAGAGAGCAAACCATCACTATGGAGTATGGACAAGCTATCATGATTAACAAGACAAGTTGAAAATCCTACCTAGATAGAGAAATTAAATGAGAATTCAATAGTGCCAAAATTATCACTGTGAATTAGACCTCGGTACAAAAAAAAATTAAAAAAAATAAATAATACTTTCTAATATTCTATGCATCTATTTCCTTGACTGAGGTAGATGCTTTGTCACCAAAGCAACTTCAAATGCCTTGATATGTTTCAAACAAACTCTGTTGACAGACAATGTTAATTCAACACTTTAATTACTAAGAACAAAACATTTTCATAGGAATAAGCATATATTGAATAGAAGTGTTAAAACAGCCCAGTAAAGAGCGCAGAACGATACCTTCAAGGTGCCACTACAAGCACAAGGTATCTCCAAGTTTTTAACACTATCTTCCTCCTGACAAATACGGCATTCCATCGACTCGAGTAAAGGTTCTCCTCCATCAGCTAATATTTTTTCTTTATTTTCCTTAATAGCAATCACTGAAGCAGATGGATTGACAGTACCAGAGCTAGAACTCTCACCAAGAAACTCAACATCCTCTTGCCCTTGCAGTAATGGCAATGACTCAGGCGTAAAAAGGTGATCAACACATAAAACCAAGTACTCACCCATTACTTATCTTGAATATATACCTAAATAAACCACAAAATCACTTCATATTAATCACATGATATCGGCTTATTAAAAACTGCCACCACAAAAGCATGAATCTTTCTTTGCCTTATTCATTCAATTATTAAAATAATTGAGATCATCAATTATTCATGGGAAAAAAAATATTAAAATGAATTCATTTATAAATTGACTTCAAATAAATTTCTCATGCTAGGATCACATGCAATAAATATTTTATAAATATGTCAAATGCAATCTTTTCGACGTTGGAGACGATAAAATAGAATTCTTCAACACTTGGGAACATAAATTTTGGGAACTGTGATGGGAATTTTGACATGAAACCCAAAAGTAAAAATAGGATAAGCAACATTTGGAGACTAAGAAGAAAAACAAGAAGCAAAAATAGATGCTTACTCTTCCATTTTAGTTTCTTCATCTACCAAACAGAATCTTAACAACATAAAAATAATAAATTTCCAGCTAAAGAACTATTAGTAATCTAAAACATGTCAATAATTTCAAGCTGCGGAATCAGAATCAGAATNAAAAATAATAAATTTCCAGCTAAAGAACTATTAGTAATCTAAAACATGTCAATAATTTCAAGCTGCGGAATCAGAATCAGAATCAGAATGATTAAAAAGGGCTACATTCATCAATAAATTTCTATAAATCACACCAAAGATTTAAAATAATAATAATAATAATAATAAACCCAGAACAATTTAGCATTACTTCATAAATATAAGAAGAAGAAAACTGCTAAAATGAATTTACAGAACTGCAATTACCTGAAAGAAAATTGCTCTTTGATTAGTTGGAGAGAGAAAAATGAGAAAAGTAAACTGTTTTGCTTTTGCAAGGAAATTGCTGACGTAAACGAAGAGACGGGTTCCGAATTTACTTATTTTTTTAGCGGTAATTGTTGTATTTATTTGTCCGAGTGCGGATAATATCTAGAATCTAGACGTATATATGCAGTGTACAGGGGGTGCTTGTCCAACAACCCCGAATAATAAGGGGATTGTGTGACACCGTTATTGGGGGCACCTGAATTTTGGATAAAGCTTAGATGTACAAAATACGTTTTACAGAAGAATAATGATATTTGCAATCGTTCACTGCGATAGTCGTCCTATGTGACATATACATGATAGGTAGTTATTTGATGTATTAATAAATAAAAAACTACCACATTAATGCATCAAATAATCACCTGTCATGTATATGCCACGTAAAGTGACTATCGCAGTGAGCGATTACGAATAGCATTATTCTTTACAGAAAGGTCATAGAAATTCAAAAATGAGTGATGTGTCAGCGAAAGAAAACTGTTGGTTTGAAAAAGTATTTAATAAATTCAATAAATTACTTATGTTTTTGTATTATATTTTTAATATCATTTTGAAATACTCAAGACCTAGTATTTCACATCGTTAATAGTGCGTAAAACGGCCAAACGTAACAAATGTTAAGATACGTCAAAGTAAGTCGTTTCAAACAAGTATTTTGAGTATTTTGAGAACAATCTAACATTAAAAATTCTTGGACGATTATACGCTAATCAAATCCATAAATCTTCTATACCCTCTCGAAACTCATTTCGAGAACTATATCATAGAGATATTGAATAATCTAAATGAATATAGGAAATAGTTAAACGTACATCAAATGTATATTTTAAAAATATGCGTATAACTAGTCTTTTTGTTTTTAAAAAAAATCAATTATTTTATTAATGTTTATTATTTTTTTGCGACAAATTCCTCAATATAATTTACATCATCTTATTAAGAATTTTTATACGTGGTATGACGTCAATTTTATTTATTTATATTTTTGACGTAAAAATTCCTGATAAAATTTGTATGACTTTATACGGGTTATAAATTGTTATACTACTTTTTCATTTTAATTATTTTTACATCTTTTTTATATCTAAAAATATCAATCACTTTAGGATTTTTTTTATTGTTATTAATTTTTCTTCTCGATCAATTAAATTTTTTAAAATAATTTAATAAATTTCTTAATAAAAATTTTGACGTCATTTAGAAAATTTTCTAAAAAACTTTTAAACTTTTTTAATGTCAAAAGAGATGTCGTTTTAAAAATTAATTTTTTAAAAAAAATTTGTTTAAACAATAAGAAAAAAAGTTCTATACAAGATCGAATTTTTTTATATATAAAAATTTTTCGGATGTAAAAATGATTAAGATGAAAAAGTAGTATAACAATTTATAATCCGTACAAAAAATAGAAGTCATACCACATATAAAATTCCCTAATAAAATGATGTAAATTATATTGAGAAATTTGTTGCCAAAAATAATAAATATTAATAAAATAATTGATTTTTTTTAAAGACAAGTTTACGCATTTTTTTAACACATATGTTTGATGTATGTTTAACTATTTTTGATATTCATTTAGATCATTCGATGTGTCTATGATATAGTTCTTGAAATGAGTTTCGAGATGATATAGAAGAGTTGTGGATTCGACTAGCGTACAATTGTTGAAAAATTTTTAAAATTAACTTATTATTGAAATTCTCAAAATACTAGTTTGGAACGACTTACTTTGACGCTCTGTAACACATGCTACATTTGGCCGTTTTGCTCATTATCGACGACATGAAATTCTACGCCATGAGTACTTTAAAATGATATTAAGAATGTTATATTTCGACTTCATTTGATATTCCATAATAAGCCAGAAAATTTAGACAAAAATATAAGTAATTTATTGAATTTATTAAATACTTTTTTCCAACCAACAGTTTCCTTTCGTCGACACGTCACCTTATTTTTGAATTTCTGTAGCCTTTCTGTAAAATGTATTCTGTACTTCTAGCTTTATCCTTTTATAATGGACAACGCTCACTAACATAGGAAAACGACAAGAAAGATGCAGTGGCGAAGACAAAAGGGCGATTCTTTGGTGCTTGTCACTTTGACTTTCCCCGAGAAAAAAATATTTAGTCAGCATGTGTAAAGTAAGTCTTCGAAATTTGGGAGCATATTGGGTTGAAACTTTGAGAGCATTTTATAAATTCACACATCAATTAAAGATGGAAATATAGATAAATTTATAATATTTTGGACTACTCATCTTAACAAGGTTGGCTTTCTAAGATGAAACATCAAGTCTTAACATGATATCAGAACCCATGAAACTCTAAAAAGCAATTCGATTCGATTAATACTCAATAAATGAGTATACAGATTTTAAGATTGGTCTACTCAAATGAACCACCATTTTACAGAAATATGTTAAGGATAAAATTACATATCGATTAAAGATGAAAGCATATACCACCTTATAAGGTTTTCGACTACTCTTTTTAATAAGGTTAACACTTTAAGATAAAAACTCAAATCTTAACAATTCTCTAAATACAAAATACATTTTTATTTTAAAGAGTTGAGAGTATCTTTAAAAGATATTTTTTCTTGTTCGTGGGACCCAGTAGTGTAGCATATTCTAATTGTACAATAAGCATAAAGATGAAATTGCCATTACTTCACTAAGAATGAATTTTATATGGAAGGGCAAATTGGTAATTTGGCTGGAATTGGTCAATAAATGCAACAAGCGGAATTCTTCTATAAATCGAGAAAAATTTCAGTGCTTCACCTCATTGGGTGAAGGTGGCCACCCGATGAGGTGGTAGCTCCTCATTCGACGATCGCATCACATAGGACGGTGTGACTGTCCTCTCCTAAAAATCAACTCAAAATAGCTACTTGACATGGGGGAAAAAAACAAACTTTTATTTTAAAAGAGTTAAAGTTTAAAAGTAAGTTTCGAGAGACTATTTATTTTAACTTTTTAAAATAAAATGGTTTGACGTTCCAAATTTAAAAAGCAAGTGCACTTTTTATTTTTTAATGTACTATGATTATATTTAATAAGTCACAAATTTTAATACTTTATTTCTTAAACTATTCAAATCATGTTTAAATTGATTGGTCATTGATATTAACATATAAAAAATTATGTTAAATAAAATATGAGAGAAAATCTACAAATAGTTATTGAGAAAAGTAAAACAAAAAGGGAAAATAGAAAACATTATTGAAGTGCATAAAATTTTAAAGATGCTCTTTATAAATAAGTAGACTCTTAGATATGTTCTCAGAGATAATAAGAGACGTTTTGTGGCTTATACAAGATTTTAGATTTGCTCAAAAGAGGAAAAAATATATAAATATAAATTTTGGATAAAATTAAGAAAAAAATAGAAAAAAATTAAATTTTGTGGGTCAATGAATCTTATATGACACCATGTGGCTTTGTCGTTGGAAGAATGTAATGTTTCAAGGAATATGTTTTAGAATGCGTGGCCTTACCCAATATACCTACAACTCACTCTCTAAGTGTTGCTCTGGCACTCTGCATGATTCTCCCTTTGTTAGCAAGGTGGAAACAAATGATATATAAGTGAGACATGAAAATTCACCACAAGCACTATTCATAATCAATTTCATTTTCAATCAAACATTTCAATAAATCCCAACTTTTCACCAGACGTTTCATTTATATATTATCTATAATTGTAACAAAACGGAGGTTTAATCGTTTGGGGCTAACCCCTAATGCAATATGCTTTCTCTCATGTATTGACAATTGTAACTTCCGAAGAACCCTTTTTGGTTTATGGATAAAGTCCATCAAGCCTTAAAAGTCATAGGTTTAAAGCCTATGAATTTGAAAACTCAATCGGGAGTTTGACATTACTCCCTAGGTACATAAAAAATAGTGAGATACATAGAGTACAAAAATCTTATCTCCGAGGAGCTATAGTCAAACAACAAATAAAGCAATACAACACTTCCACGAAGTTACTTTAAGATTTCTTTCTAATATTGGGGAGACCCAACTCATCCATTTTAAAGAGTCCCTGGTTTCATCTTTACCTCGTGTGGCAGCAAAACTTTACAACTCCTCTCTTTGTAACCATTGTTAGCTAACCAATTTGTAACCTCTTTGTCATGTCTCCAAATGTGCGAAAACAACTTAGATGCTTGTTGAGGAATTTGAAACAATTGTTCTCACCTAATCAAATCGCACCTTATTATATGTTGTATTAGCCAGACTAAACAACAAAAAATTAAAACAATCAACAATGTTGTGCTCACTTGCATAACGAAAATGATTGAAAATCCAACATAATTGGAGGGAAATCCCTTTTGAATATATTTTTTTCTGTTAAAATCTAATTTGGGTTGGTCTATGAGTACATAAGGGTTGGTACATAATGGTGTCCACACCCTCACAAGGGTTTTCCAAGAAAAAAATATTGAGAAGTTACAAAAAGCAATACTAAGGAAAGAGTTAATTAAATAACTAATCATCAACATTTATCCTCTGTTACAACTCGTTCAAATTTACATGTGTTGGATGTATTGGGTGATCTAAGTGCCACGAAGAGCTATATGCCTTTGTATGTGGATCAGATTCACGATGGCCTTCGATTCATGCAATATGCACATCAAGTCGCTCAAAATAGTGGTATCCTTGTGCTCGAAGATGACAATGATTATTATGGTGTATTATTGATGACATTCAGCTACATTATTTTCATAACAACGCATATTGTTATTTAAGTGTGATTTTTTTTTCTTTTTATTGTGATAAAAATAAAAAGGATTATAGAAGAACCAAAATCTCTATCAATTAATATTGCTTGAACTTGGTACAGGGATGATCCATTCATTTTGTCAATACAATCTATTCAAGTGCTCTATACAGATTACTTGAAAAAGGGAGCCAAATGGAAAGTTGTACAAAAGGCCTCTCATCATCATATAAGGGATACAGTTGAGATTACTTATAATTGTAATAATGATGATGAAATTGAAAATTCTAATATTTTTCAATAAGACAGCTCATCTATAGATATATATAATTTTTTATTGAAAAAGATGATTTAGA